CATCTTGCAGCTATGAAGGAGTTTAAAGTAATGGACTTGCTTGATGGTAAAACGCGTCGGAACAAGAACATACATATATGTGATGCTGGCAAAGGAATTGGCCAAAAAAGGTGATTTTTAGATCAAATTAATATAATATAAACTTTTATGTGAAATATACTGCTCTAAGGTTACAACAAATACAGCGACCAAGTGAAACTAAAGTTTCGAATTCTAAAAACTGAATATTTTAAAGCAAAGTGCACCAATAGCCGAAGCGGTGCTGGAAGAAAAAATATGGAGTACTTCCAAGAGTTGGAGGAACTGCTAGGCGATCGTCCTGTTGCGGCGGCTGTGGGACTGGATACCACTGTAGTGGAGAACGAATTTGAAATGGAAGAAGACCCACTAGAAGTAATCTTTGAAGAGACATTACAAGAGGGAGCGCTATCCGAAAGCTTGGTTGGAGATACTGCTCCAACCGATTTTGCATCCGAGCCGCAGCACAGCGTGGAGAAGGCTCCAAAGAAAAAAGTAAGTTTTTGAAATCCATAACATTCTTTATGAAGCGAATCCGAAATAACTGTCATTGGTTTTTTAAGTAAACACTATCCAAACGGCATTGCTTGATATCGCTGCTGATTTTAAGCAATCACAACAAACTACAATGCAAATGATCAGGGAGGAAAATGATGTATTTTTGGAAGAGCAGCGTCGGCTACATGCAGACTATCTCAGGGAAACAAAAGAAATAATGGCAGAGGATCGCAGAGAGACGAGAGAGATGTTGTTGGACAATAAAGTACAAGTGAGAAGTTTCTTCGTTAAAATGCTTGACACTATCAGCAAAACAAATTATTAAAAATCAAAGAAATTTTTCACCAATTTCACATTTGCACTTCCAAACTTTCTAGAAATTCTAATTGAAAAGTTTAAAGTTTTGAATTTTTTAAATCGGTCTTGTTAGCTATACTTTTAAAAAAATTAATTAACATTAAACAAACGAAAGTAACTTGTCAAAATGTCGCGTTTATATGGTTTTGCCGCAGGCGGTAAAAAGACTAGACTAAGCCCACAAATTTTGGGAAAATAAGCTTTTTTTAACAACACTCAGGGCAATCACTGAATCCTTCGTAGTCTGAATTTTAGTCAAATCTACGAAAATGCCCTTACTGAATGCGAATAGCTACGAACGAACCTTATACTTTGAATACATTCGTACGAAATCGGATTCAGTGATCGCATTTTCGTAGATTTAACGAAAATCGGACTAAGATGGATTGAGCGATAGCACAGACTTATAACTAAACCCGAAGACTGAATAGCTGTGCCTAATAATTTTAGTTTTTTTGAATGAATTGAAATTTAATTTTAATATTTATTTATTATAATGTATTGAAGTGAATAATACCCGTACACATTGAAATGAGCTCATTTATTAATCAATATTTACCAATCTTTTTTAATAACAACTTTCCAAACTAGTTTTTGAGAAATTAATTTTCCAAATACATATGTAGGTAGGTATCTACCAACAATTTTTCGAAACTCCGTTTTTCACATTTTGAAAAGACAAAGACATTATACAAATTTTTGCCTCTTTTCCTTTCGTTGATTTAATGTTTATTATTCTTTTATGAAGGTATAGCTCACTATCAAACATTTAGAAATGTTCGAGGAATTTTAAAAATGTTAACTTATTCAAAATTTTTAAAATAAAATTCTAGGTATGCAGTTTTGTTGAAAGTGTTGCTCATTTTCTCCACACAAAAAAAAATTGTCGAACATACTTTGTGTTGAAGAACCTTACTTCATGCTATACTTTATAGTTTCATAAAAAACAATAAGCTTTATATTAACGAAAGGAAAATAGGCAAATATTTCTAAATTGTCTCTTCCCTATTTATATTTTAGCCACCGTACATATATATGTACGTTAGGGTGGTCCTTAAATGTAGAAAGCAAGTTTTTCATCAGATTTCTTAAGCCTCAACCCCTACGTCCATGCTACTGTAAATTTTGGTCCCGATTGGAGACGGTTAATTTTGTCCCCTATACGACACCCCTTAACCGTCTCCAATCGGAACCAAAATTTATATGTGATATCTGTGATCGTGGTATTACCGATTGAGTGGTTTAGACTGAAAAAAATCGTTCATTTGATTTTTTAAGGACCACTCTAATGTACATATTTAGATCGATTCTTGCTAATCAGCTCTAGTTCTGATT